CCGAGCCGAAGCTGTCGCCGCTGCCCACCTCGTCGCCCACCTCTGGGAGCTCGACGTAGACGATGTCGCCGAGGGCCTCAGCGGCGTGCTTGGTGATGCCGATTGTGCCTTTTTGGTGATTCAACTTAGTCCCAAATCTCGGTCAGTGACGAGGTTATGTACTCACAGGTCTTGCCGTCGCTGGCCACGTCGATCCATTCGTGGGTCTCGGTGAAGCGCTTCTCAAGGCCTAACGTGGTGATGGTTTAGTATTTATCGTTCATGACGAAGAAGTGAAGTTTCTCGAGATCTTACGTTGTACTGATTGCGAGAAGCTCATGCGCTGTGAGATGGGCAGGGCCCTGCTGGCGGGAGCAACCTTGACAGCTGCCGGTCTCCAGCATCGCGCCGTTCTCGAGGCAGAGGCAACAGCCTGGCGTGTGAAGAGAGTGGCCATTGTGAAATGTGAGGGGAAGGGATATGCAGAATAGGACGTGTGTAAGAGGGAGTGATAGCAAATAGCGGGTTTATTACTGGCAAACTGTCTGAGGAGGGAGAAAAAACTTAGGAGTAGGTAGGCAAAAAACAGCTGGGCAGGCGAGCTTAACTGGCCCTCCCCCCCCAAAAATCGCAGCGGTACCTGGGACTGCCTTCGAGCCAGCTAAGGAAAGCTTCCTTATCTCGAGCTCGGATCGAAAACCGGCGCTGGAATGGGCTTGTTCCCCTTTGACTCGGTGATGGGCCGACCCACTTGGATGGAGGATGCGACTTCTCCCCACAGACTCGGTGATTCTGGTTCCACTGATGCATGAGGCTGGGCCGGAGCGGATCTGGGCTGGACTCAGTGAAGGGACTCAGTGAACCTGGACTCAGTGACGATGGCAGGCAAAAGGTCTTTTCCCCCGGTCCGTTATCTCGACTGCGCGGCACGCCGTAACCTAGGCTAAGCTCCAGTCTAATCACCTCTTTTTTTCGTCATCCGAGGCCGTTAATCGGACGCATTCGGGGTCACTTGCATTCAGCAACTACAGGGAGGGTCAATGATTTGGGAGGCGAGCTCACAGCTAGCGAGACGCATGAGTCCTGTGGCAAGACAACTGGTAGCAGAGTCAAGATATACAATTCATCGTCACTTGGAACTCGTAAGATCAAGTAAAATATGTAGAATAAACGCTGAAATTAAGTTTTAATTTTTTTCCATCTTCCAAGGAAAAAAATTTGATCAAAATATGGCTATAAACAAAATCATAAACTGTGTGATATCATCCCCCCCTTACAGAACCCAGGGCTGGTCAAACTGCCCAACCCACTCCTCAACCTCCTTTCGCAGAGTCTGGATCTCCTCGACCTGCTTGCCGTCGCCGAGATGGTTCAGGAACGCCTTGACCGTGGCGGGGTTCTTGACGCCCTTGGCCTGGGCCTCGGCCCTGGCCTCCTTGTCGACGGCGAGGGTGATGCCGATGCCGCGGTGGATGATGTCGGCGACGCGCTCAAAGTCGGTGGTGGTGAAGCCGCGGGTGGTCATGGCCGGGGTGCCCAGGCGCAGGCCGCCGGGCTTGAGGGCCGACTTGTCGCCGGGCACGGTGTTCTTGTTGCAGGCGATGCCGCACAGCTCCAGCACGCGCTCGACGCGGGCGCCGTCGACGCCCTTGGGCTTGAGGTCCACGAGGACCAGGTGGTTGTCGGTGCCGCCCGAGACGAGCGTGTACCCGAGGGCGCCGGAGAGCTGGGCAGCGAAGGCCTTGGAGTTGACGAGCACCTGCTTCTGGTACTCGGCGAACTCGGGCGACTTGGCCTGGCGGAGGGCGGTGGCCAGGGCGGTGATGGTGTGGTTGTGGGGGCCGCCCTGGTGGCCGGGGAAGACGGAGGCGTTGATGGGGCCCTCGAGGTCGTACTTGACCTCGTCGCCGTTCTTCTTGACGGAGCGGACGCCCTTGCGGAAGAAGATCATGGCGCCGCGGGGGCCGCGCAGGGTCTTGTGGGTGGTGGTGGTGACAATGTCGGCGTACTCGAAGGGAGAGGGGAGGACACCGGCAGCGACGAGACCGGAGATGTGGGCCATGTCGGCGAGGAGGTAGGCGCCGACCTCGTCTGCGATGGCGCGCATGCGGGCATAGTCGATGAGGCGCGAGTAGGCGGAGGTACCGGCAATGATGATCTTGGGGCGGTAGAGAAGAGCATTTTGGCGCAGCTTCTCGTAGTCAATGAGCCCAGTCTTCTCGTCGAGGACATATGGCAGGGTCTCAAAGTACTTGGAGACCATGGAGATCTTCTTGGTAGGGAGCTGGTAGCCGTGGGACAGGTGGCCGCCCTGGGGAAGATCAAGACCCATGATGCGTTCATGGGTGTTGAGGAGAGCCGAATAGGCGTAGAGGTTGGCAGGTGATCCAGACAGGGCTATCTTGCGTTTTAGCAATTGTGCCTCTCAGTGTTGATACAGAGAATGAACTGACCTTGGACATTGACGCCCCATCGATCAGACTCGAGACGGAAAGCTTCCAGAGCACGTTTCTGGCACAGCCTCTCGGCCTCGTCGATGTGCTCGTTACCTCCGTAGTATCTGGCTCCGGGGTATCCCTCAGAGTACTTGTTCTGCATGACACTGCCCAGAGCCTCGAGCACAGACTTGGATGTGAAGTTCTCAGAGGGAATGAGGTTGATGAAGTGTTGCTGTCTCTTCTCCTCCTGTACCTGGAGTCAGCCCTGTACTGGATTGTCCCCTGACGCTTTGCACTTACACGCTTGAGAATTGCATGAAGCTCGGGGTCAGTCTCCTGGAGAGAGCTGCCCAGAAGCTGTTGAAAAAAATGTTAGCGAATAATCTCTTCCAGATATTTCATCTGCATAGGATTGCCTACAGTCTTGTCTGCCGAGGAGAGCGACGCGACTGATCGCGACCACTGATATTTAGGGGCAGACGCAAAGGCCTGCTGCAGGCGTCTGCCAGTGAGACCAACTGTGCGTGATCGAGACATGGCTGCGTTGATGTGGGAGATGGCAGACTAGACGCGTTTGCAGTCGAAGGCCGGTATCAGAAGAGAGAATGAACAAAGGAAGAAAAGGAAAGAAGTGTAAAGTTTGATTCGGCTGGTATGAAGGTGTGATTGTCGGGAGGAGCTGTCTAGTTGAGCTGCTGTAGGTGCGCGGCTTCTCTGGCGGCACCGAGCAACGGAGCTTATCCGGAAGCGACCCGATAACATCCACCTGCTCAATGGATGGCCGAGATCGAAGCGAGGGCAAATTCTGCAGATCTGACCGCCGCATAGTTTCGTGGAGGCGTGCGCCCGCCCAGCCATGCACTTTGTTTTCGTTGCTTGACTCGGTGACATTTGGCTGTGACTCGGTGAATAGCGTAAATTTAGAGGGAACATGGAACAACACTAAAAAAACAGCGCCGCTGTCACTGAGTCTGGTGGATCGACCGCCGCTCCTCAGGGAGGCCAGCCCCTGGAGTAGGGCCCGCAGGCCCAGATAGGGGCACTCGCAGGTCCCGGTCACGCGCTGCCACCACTGTAGCCATCAATGGATGGTTCAATCCGTCGTCATCGTGGAATTGCAGCAGCCCGGACCGGGACGAGGTTGGCGTGCATCTGGCATCTCATCCTCAACACCATCCTCAAGTGATTGAATGACTCCCAGCATACTGGCGGCGACTACATGTAGGCTCTGCATGGGCTTTATTATAGCTTGCTCTGCAACATATAATCGATAGAACTACCTGCGTTCCACCGCAGTGTATCACAGCGCCGTGTCGAAATTGGGAAGCAATGGAGGACTGTCGGGGCTCAGGCAATGCGATGGAACATAAGGGAGCAACAGTCTTGGAAGGGTTGGTGTAAGCAAACAGCACGTCCCCGGAAAAAAATAAACCCTTCGTGCCCCCATGTCCATCAAGATCTGTCCAGGATGGCTTCAGGTGTTTCAGCCCAGGCTTTTTCATAGACACAAATTCGAGAGCCCCGACTGCGACTCTTCCCACCATGAACCCCGCCGAAAAAGCCTCGGACGATGGCCTGGCTGTCATCCACGTCGCCTTGTTTCGGATGGCAACAAAGTCCATGGCACACGCGTATAGAGCCCTGGGCTTCAGGACGCACCATGGCGATGAGGACATCCTTGGGAATCCGTGGGAATCCATCGAGCAAGCGGCAGAAGCGACCTGGCCGTCGATCCCTGGCGCAAGACCCCACCCAAGGCTCACTCGCAAAGACTGGGATGAGCTCTGGGGATCCAAATATGATATCGTCACCGACATGGCCTGTCCATTTGTCGATCAGCTCATCGAGGCATATCCCAATGCCAAAGTCGTCATCGTTCAGCGGGATTTTGACAGCTGGTGGATAAGCTACAAAGTCGTTGTCTTAGACAAGCTCTTCACAGCCGGACAGGCCGTCATGCTATTTCTCGTGAGCCATGTCTTGAGATCAAGATCCGCCCACGCGATGACCAAAGTCAGCTACGGGCTCTTCGAGGCCAGAAACGTGTCTGAGATTGAGGCGAATGCACGGCACGGGTATGACCAGTACTTCAAAAAGATTCGGGACATGGTGCCGCCGGAGCGGAGGTTGGAGTACTCTATCGGCGATGGATGGGAGCCGCTGTGTGCGTTTCTAGGGAAAGACATCCCGGATGTACCATTCCCGCATTTGAATGATAGGGTTGATAGAAGGAAGAGGCACAAGGAAGGAGAACACATGGTATACCTTCGAGCAGCTAAGAAGCTTGCTCCCTGGATCATTGGCCTCGCAGCGATTGCACTCCCGCTTTCGTACATGTATACACCAGCCGAGTGATAGGGATAGCAGTTGGCAAAAGGTCCATGCCTGCCACCGATACACGTTCTCAACCTATGGAGAAGTAATGTATTTATCATTGTCAGTGGGCGGAAACCGGCTAGGAGGGCAGGGTGTAGTGGAAATGACGACTGCCTTGCGTTGTTTATCATCATCATCATTAGCGCTGTATCTTTCTACTTATAGTTCCATATACCGAGAATCTGGATTTCCTCCAAAGGCTATACTTTATGTTTCTGGCTTCGGCCTGAAAACCAGAAGTGCCCCCTGGGCGGTAGAAGGACCGACAGCCGGCCACCCTGTGCCCTTCTGGCCTGCCAAGCATTTATCGAGATCCAACTGCAGGAAATCAGCTGCCTCGCCACTATCCCAGAACCCTTCCCTTCGGCTACGTAACCGTAATAGAGCTATCGCCCGCTTCCGTACTTTAGCAACCGGACAAGATCCGTATACCACGACTAGTACCGGGATCAAATCCGCCTTCGCTGTGAAAACTCTTTGCGTTGGGTTCGTCATTTCGAGCAATTCCTCCACCTGATCCATAAACGACATACATTGCTCTACATCAATAATCGGCTCTTCGCCATATGGTTGTTTCATCATTTGAGCCCAGAGTTGCCTCTGAAGCTTCAAGTTGAGGTGTTCATAGCTATGGGGCGGCCTAAGAGTTTCCAGAGTTTTTTCGAAACGGGCTTCCCACTTTCGGAAGCGCCTTCCAAGGATCTGAAATGTCTCCTCGTTGATCTCTTTTAGTCGCTCAGGGAATGGTCCTTCAGAGTTGTCGTGGGCGCAGTGCATGTCCGAGAGAAACAAATCGAGATGAGCCAGGGCTTGCTCTGCCTCATCAAGGCTCTCATAGGGCTTTGTGGGGTCTTCGTACCCTTTTGGCAGTTGCGCATATGGCGCAAGATCCGGTATTATCTTGTCTTCGTTAAACATGTTGACGACGGACCCGAGTCCCCGGAATACTGTTGCGATTTCGCGCAGCTTCCCTTCCAGTTCCGGTGGGGGGTCGCGAAGAGATGTGAGGAGTCGGCATCCAGCTGTGAGGTGCCGTAAGGCTTCGGTCTGGGAGCCTTTCAACGACTCGATGAATACAAATAACAGGCAACATATCAAAACCAGCATAGTATTCTCGGGTTTAGCCTGGGACATAAGAGGTACCAATCGTGATATAGCGTTCGTGAACTGTTGAGTAACAACTGCCTGATATTGAGCTTGATGATTGATCCTTGAGGAGTTATTACTGAGGAAAAGCCAGTGGGTAGCACCCAATGCCGTAATGGCATGCCGAACCAGCGGCTCATTTTGACTCAGGGCTGGAAGCGTTTTGAGCCAGAACCCGCTAATCCCAGGCGCCAGATCAATTTCATTGAGAGTGTAAGTGAAAAAATGGCTCAGGCAATGCTGTTCAAGGATATTTTTTGTTGGCGGGAGCCTTGGTAGTAATGGAATTCCCGCATTCTGGCCACTGATCAACGTCAATGCTGTTGACTGCTTGCTCGGGGTGACCTTGGGCTCAATCGAAGCGGCAGAACTGTTCTTCTTATTTTTGGAAGTAGATTCTTCGGCTATAGGAGCGTAGCCATCACATTTCCAGCCACCTTCTGTGCAGCGGCGGCAGAAAGGCTTCTCCTCATCGCACTTCTTCCGGCGAAATCTAAATTGATTCCTTGTTAGATCAAAAAGAGCTCATTGTACGGACTGAGCATCTCGAAAGGCCCCACTATTAGGAGAGGTGGAGATGAAGTCTTACTTGCTGCAAGTCTGTTAGCTGACGATCTCCCATGAGCACTCGCGATCTCAGCCAGGTTCCGAGAAAATCACCCGCTCGGCAACTTACCAAGTGATGCAGCCTGTGCGGACTTTAGGAGCATATTTCCTTCTAGCCTTGGGTTTCTTTACAGGTACTTGCGCAACGACGCCCTGCTTAGCAGTAGTACTCTCACGGCTCATATTTTTTGGGAAGATGATCGAGGTAGGCAAGTTATATGACATCAAATATCAAGTGGAGTGGCTGGTGGATGAGTTTTTTTGAGTGCATGTACCGTTTACTAAGCTAACCTAGACCATGATACACGTGATTCCCAAAGCAACTCAAGCATCAATACATGCCTGAAGTAGCTATTGCCGACTTTTTGCTTCGGAGCTGACGATGAGAAAAGCAATTGAATCCAAATTTAAACACGTTTCAGACGATCCAAGAGAGATTGTTGGTGTTGAATCGATATATCTTTCCACTTACAATATAGCGCCGAGGGTAGCTGAGCATTGTAAGACTCTAGATATTAATCGTATTAAAAAGAAAAACAGTAGTTTAGAATAATAAATGATAAATATTCCACTAGGTCTTTGGACACTTTAGTATTTTTCACAAATGCAATGTCACTTGGTGAGTTGGGTGCTTTAAGAACCTGTAGCGCTGTATAAGGTGGCTATCTTATAGCTGACAAAATTGGCATGGTGATGTTAGAAAGGTGTATATGAGAACTTAAGGAGATATCATTGTATATTTCGAAGTGCCATTGTCTCAATTTGTACATGTCATGATTCAAACGCCATGGATTAAGGAACCGATCTCTGCTGATATAATCAACTTCGAAGATTGGCAGCTAGTTATTTATTAGGTAAAACCACTTGGCATGCCAAGGCTAACGCTCATAAAATCACGGCCTGATAAAACAAAACTCAAGACCGTTACTGACAGTTTTATTCACCTTGCATCCTCAGTCCAAACGGCAGCGATCTATACATTGGCAACAGAGAGGCTTCTAAAAAGGAAAACTACCTATTTTTTCTTCTCCGTTTTCTCTTTAATGTTCGGGGTTAAGAGAACCTAATCATCGGTGTCTCGCCTCCTCTCCGTGCAGTGAATTCTTCTGGTACCGCAGGCTCTCAACATCACCCTATGTCTTTTTTCCCCAACTACTATCGTATCTATACTGTGTTCTGTTAGCTATTGCTAGCCATCGAAATGGGCGACAACCCTACAGAGCAAGAGGTCAATGCCGAGTTTAATCCTGACCGGTGCGCTCTCCTACACAATGAGCTCCTTGCCAGGGCAGTCAGTCACATTCCTGACGCCGCTGAGAACATGCAACAGAACTGCATCCAGTTAGCTCTCGAGAATCCTCCGGGATGGGCCGATACGGATGCATTACAGAAGGACGATGTTGTTCGTTTCTTCTCCCAGTTGAATGTGTATGATCCACGACACGCCCCATTCACAGGGGAGTTTAGACAGCCTGATCCAGTAGCATTCTGGAATCGAACATACGGAGACATGAACGATCCAGACATTATTTTACTCTATCCCACCGCATTTGATATCCAGCAGGATGCCGGTCTGTTTCTCGATCTATTCACCAAACGAGCGACTTGTGGTAATATGGAATGCGGCAGCCTTCCTGCGAGCGATTCCGAATCCTGGGTACCGCTTGAGTTTGCGCTTCTGAAATTATTGGAGATGTGGGACCGTGGAAAATACTATTGGATGGACGAGAGCAGAAGTTCAATATTGATACGAGGATTTACACCTAGAGATCTGGAAGAAACCCTTTCTGCTTGGGAGAGCTTACGGAAGGCTATCCAAAGCCGCCTTGGTGACCCGGGCGAAGACAATTATCGCGATCCCCTGCCCAGCAGTCTGGTAAATCAATTTCGGATAAGCCCCTTTGCTAAAGCCTTTCTGACAAAGGCCAAACGGCCAAATTTCACTTTCGTTGGGCCGGGCATTACAGTCTTTACAGATGAAAGATTTGAAGCCATCATGGGTTCAGAGCCTCCTGACTCGGAACGAAGTCAGTTCATCAGGAGATTCCCCGACGAGCCAGACCTCTATCCTTCACTCGTTCTCCCACTTGCCGATGAATCAGTGAGGCTTCAAACTCCTTTCAACCCTCGCAAGAGGCATTTGGAGAGGCTCACAATTTCGCTCCTTCCCGGACTGTACATGGGAGTTAACGATAAGTTCGCGGACACTATTCAGCTTGTGACAGCCCAGGCAACCGATAGAGATATGGCTTATAACGTTCCAAGACCATGGGGCGCCGATAGGGAACCCCGGTTCGCAGAACTATTTGAGGTTTGGGCCGGCTATGTTGTTGATGGAATATGGGAGGTCGGTGTTGACGGGGTTTCAACTAGCCATGAGTGGTTTACCGACGCGGCGACTAAACCATATCGTGAGTTGCACTTCATGGAAGACTCCATGTAGAGGAGTAGAGTGGTCAAAGCTAGGATCCTTGAAATATTTGTTTTTCTCAAATTCGAATGCTGAAATCATCACCGGTTGCATGACTATCCAGGCCTGCCTTGACCGGTATGGTTATGATGTGTCCTCCTTGGTTCAGGTCAAAGAAACAGCTCTATTCACATTCTCCCGTAGTAAGCACCAAAATTTGATACTCTTTGTCTTCATGCAATTCCTTCACATCCTTTAGCCCGGCTCGTCGAGCAAATTTAGCGCACCATCCGTGCGCAGCACCCAACTCCTCAACTAGATTTTCCAACGACAACAACGAGACACTTTCCTCTGCGAGTTTTAAAGCTTCTAAATCCGTTTTCGGTACCTCTGAGAATACAGGCTTCTCATCCTTGCGGCTGTAGAGCTCCAGGAGCTCCCCGATTTGCGCTATCCTTCGCCGCCTGATATCAATCACTTCAGCCTCTGGACCTTCGCATGCCGCACATTCGCAACGGAACCCCCAATTCGCCAGTTCTTTCGCCCTGTTTTCTCTAGAGCACGCGACTTCGGTGTACGAGTCCGTGATTTCCTCTCCCTCGCTGATATCTCTCACCGCATAGACTTCCATTCCGGTCACCTCATCGTACACCCAGCACGTATTCGGCATGCATGAGTGGTTCATGCGGCAAAACGTAGTGAATAGCCCAACTTTCAGCCCACCGGAGATCGAAGCAGCGTTGGTGTAGAATTTAGCCAGCACGAGACCAGCATCCCAGTCCGTGCCGGGACATTTCTGGTTGTGGTGAGACTTGAAGTCTTGTAATTTCTTCGGGTTGTGATACAACTCCATGATCTCGTTCTGGGACTCAACGGGTAACTGGCCCATTTTTGCGATCACCCATTTTTCTTCAGATTGTGTCTGAAGCTCTTCCTTTGAGAGCATCAGGACGGGCTGGTCTTGAATGATGCGAGTGCCTGCCTTGATGGCCGCCTCAGCAAATAAGCCATGGCCACCATCCGGTGACCTTTTCAGGGTATATAGCTGCGACTCTGGCATGGCGGGATACTGGTGAAATCCACCTTTGACATTTTTAAGAGGCCTGCCCCCAGAAACTTGGGTTAGATTGCTGGCAACGAGATTGGTATCAAAGTGAAAATTGGGCAGTGAGGAAAATCTCCTCTGGTGGACCCGCTTGCTAGTTAAAACTCAGCACACCCATTTGGAGCGACACCACAGGCAATGATCATTCTGCATGAACATGCTCACCAGGAATTTCTGTCACCCCAAACATTCGAGACAACAATTCTCACGGTTGGCTCATCTTTATTTGGCACGAGTAAAATTATATTATTGTTCACACTTAGTGGAGATGCTTGCAAAAATAATCTAGGATTTTAGTAGGTGTTGATACGACTTCAGGTCGAGTGATATCTTCTTGGTGTTACTAAAGACCCGTCAGTTTTCGAAACACCGAGTTATCCAAAATAGGGAAATCTCCAATCATTTCGATTCCGGGACCAGATTTGAACTGTTCCCGATGTCTCCCCATGGCAGCCTCAGCCAAAAATCTGCCCAATGGCTCCGTTGGGCTCGTGTGGCTCGGGACCCAAGCGCGGGCAATAGGCGTCAAGACAAATCTTGCAGCCTTGATCGGAAAACTAGGTTCTGGGACGTATGGTTGGATAGCAGTGTGAGCAGAAGAATCAACGATGGCCGGGCGGACAGACAAGGCATGAAGCGAGGGGTTCTGCTTTCGCAACTCCGCTAGAGCGAGCTCGGTCTCTCCCTTCACTCGGGCAAAGATGACTGAACGGCTGGTTGGTTGGGTGGTTGCTCCGTTCCCGGATACATAAACAAAGTTGAATGGCTCATTGTTAGCCGGCAGAGCTTTGAATGCTTTTGCAGACTCAAGAGCCAAGGTTTTTGTGATCTTGACATACTCCCTAGTGTAAAGTCAGCGACCCATGGACTCTTAATGCCACTCCTTGGATGAACCACTTACTCTTTCCCGACCTGTGTTTGGCTAACTCCTAGTGCCCAGACACACCCCGTGGCGCCCTTCAACTGACTGATAATTTCTGGGTCGTATTTCTCAAAATTGTTGTTGATAATGACATGGACTCGGGGGTCTTTGGCATCCTCTGCAAACTTGACTGGTCTTCGGCTGAGCACTGATATCCTTGTGATATCTTTCATTCTCATCATTGCATCAAGGACGCCAGAGCCAACATGGCCAGTGGCACCCGTTAAGATGAGATGCATGATTTAAGACCTTAAAGATAGGAGAAGGGCGGGACAATTCACTGTCGAGGCAATCTGCAAATTCGATAGCCAGGCAAGATGCGGATGAGAGAGTTCGAGTACAAAGTAAAATACAGCAATAAAGATAGCCAGGCAAGATATGGAATCAATAGACCTTTAAATAACAAAAACTCCATCTCCCGGTGATGACGCTAAAGGTCTCGTATAACCTTTTGGGCGAACTCCGCGTCCCACTCCGCGTCTCACACCATCAGCTTACACCACCCACAGCTGCCATTGGACAGCTTACACTACTCACTACTGCTATTGGATGGTTGGTTTCATAGCATTTAGGACCTCATTTCATCTGAAGATGGCCGTAGAATGAACTGATTGCGTTATTCAAGGCGAGGGGGCCATGTTAGAGCTCTCGCGCCACTCCGCAATCTTAATAGTGCAGTCCCCTTGTTGCTCGACAACACCAAATGCGGCGTGCGATACATTGTACAGTCGGTCTGCGTCACCGTCGATGTAGCCACCGGCCCAGCCAGTGATGTAAACGAAACCACCACGGTCACTGGCATGGGGGACCGCGACAACAGAGTAGTAGCCGTGGCCCTAGAAAACCATTAGTGCCATAGAACTCATGGCAAGGCCAATCGAGGAACTTACGAATGTGCCAGCGTATTGGCCTTGGAGCTTAGGTAGGAAGCTACCGTAGGCTGCCCTCAGGGTGTTGAAGTCGAATTTAGTCGCGTTAAATGTCGCCGATAGATTGGGTGCGAATGATGCGTCGTAGGCGGCAGCCCACGTGTCACGGAAAGGATAGAAGTCGTCGACAGCCTTTCCGATCCAGGCAGCCAACTCATCACTAGCGGCGTATCCATCGGGGTTACGGGGCTTGCAGTCGGTGGCAGCCGCTGAGCTTCCGACGGCGAGCAGAGCTGTAGTGGTGGTCAGCCATGTGAAGCGAAGAACTGTTATAGCTAATGAGAGTTCCCACATACTAGTGAAGGTAGACAGGCGCATATTGGGCACTTATTTAGGTATCGTATATAGGATAGTCTTCGAGATAGTCTTTTGATAAGTGGTTCTCGTAAAGAAGCGAATAAGGAGCCCCGTGTGCATTTTATACCTGTTTTGTTCGCCGGGCATCGCGTGCGCCAACGGGCCACCCGACAAGCCCGGTACAGGTAGATGCCTCTAATCGGACTTGTGCTCGGAATAATCTACCGCAAACTTGTTTGGAGCCGGATTCATCAGCCCTGGAGACATCTTGTGAAACGCAGGGCTGTCAGCTTTGAGCGTATCCGTCTAACTGGATTGACACTTATCACCCTTGTTTAGCCCCTAAATGGGTCGGGGAGGTGATCCTCCTTGGTTTGACTCATTCTAGAGAGTGGCGACCTGCAACTATATATACCTACCTTGGCTATAATGCTTCGCGCGCGCAACGGTAAGGTCCGTGAACCTTGCGTATTTCACTTGTTTATGCGAAAGAGGCGCGCGGTTAATTAACTAAGAAAGCGATGAATTATGATTTTCCGGGACATTACCGTTCGCATTACGCAGGTCAATTTATGAACACTTCATTACCTACCTTACCCAGGTACTTGTAGAACATAGACCTACTTGTGAGGAGGGCCAGTGACTAGTGAGCTGGGTCTATGTAACGAAATAAACTTCAACCTGGCGTCCAAATGGGGAAATGGTGTAGGGGCATCACGTTTGTTTTGCATGATCAAAAACATACACTACAAAAGGTCCGGGGTTCAAATCCCCGTTTCTCCAGTGCGAATTTCTTTTTTGCATTTTCTCTCTACTGTGAAATAAGGTGATAGTGAGTGAATAAACACGAACCAAGTGTCTTACTTTGCTAGAAGTAATTCGAAACGTTGTAGTTTCGCTACGCTAATAGACATTATCAAGTCAGAGTATAATAGTGTAACTATTCGCTACCTTGCTTAATCGGAGGGGAGAGAACTGAAGGCTCTTTACGCAGCTTCGAGCGGTACATGATAGAAAGATTCCCAATTTGATATCAAGACCTTGCAATTGATAAACTCTCAGCACCTTTGTCCGCTGGAATACCCCCCCCCCCCAAACACCTTAACCGACAACGACGTTGAGCTCAAGGTTGTGGCCTTCGGCAACCTTGTATTCGACGGAGATGGTGCGATGGTCGACGCTATGAACGGACTGCGAAGTGCGCTGAGCATCGCGGGCAGCGCAGCGCACAGGGTACTTGCTATCATAGTACTCAGGCAGGGACTTGACACAAGTGACGTTGTGGACCAGGCCGGTCACGACGTCGACCCAAGGCTTGTAATTGTGGACGCCGAGGGCGATGAAAAAGGCCTCCTTCCCTTGCTCTGTCGTGAACCGGAGCATGCCGGAGCCTCCGCTGCTGGCCATGGTCAGGGTCTGGACACCATTCTGATCGCTCCAGGCGCCAGTTTGCCAGATGCCCTTCTCCACGATGTTGAAATAGGCGTTGGTGTTGGTCTGATAGACACGGGCTTTGATCGAATAAGACATGCTGGATTGCGGTGATTAGTACGAGCCATGCGTGTATTTCTGGATAGAAAATCTTACATGAATGATATATCGAGACGAAGGATAGTATTAATTGGCTCAAAGTCCGGGTTTGCTGGAGTATCTATACCAAGAGTGTTTGTTGAAGAGGTAAGGAAAACAAGATAGATATCGAGAAAGGACACTGGGTATTAATAGTTTTTCTTCATCTTCCGTCTTGTGTCATGGGTTCTTTTGCACTGGAATCACCCATGCAGACCAACGGCTTGATGCATTTTGTACTCATCCAGTCGGCATCTAAGAAAGCGCACATGCTTCGCCCTGCAACAAGATGAACTCCAAATAGCGGTCTTAACAGGAGGAGTTTCAGCTTAGTTGCGCTACATGAAGTGGAAGACATGAGAATTTTGAGACAGAGTCCGGTGATGATCGGCAGCCAAGCATGGAATTATTGACATCAACCAGCTGAAGATCCATTTATGTCAGCCAAATAAGAAGACCTGGGATCTTTCAGCTACGTCAATACGCAAAAATCTCCACGCTCCCGGCGTTTGATATTTCCTTCTACATGGTTTGACTGCCTCCGATTGGTCGAATGATTCACAAGATGCGTCTCACCTGAATTGCATCTTGGCGCGGACTACTTATCCCGACCGTTTCTAGTCATCTGACAGGGGAGCAGTCGATTGATTGGATCAAAGCCGTACCGCGTGTCATTCGGCTTGGGCCAGGGCCGGCAAAATAGCCAGACTTTCCTAGTCTTGCATGTCGGTGACAAGACTAAGTTGGGCCGATTTGGAAATGCTTCAAATATTGGGTGTCTAAGGAGGGCTCTTCAAGAGAACTTTGATCCCGTAATTTTCTAAGCCTAGAAAATTCTAAGCCTAGAAAATTCTAAGCGATTCTTTACCCACTTCAACTTTGAAGCGGCCGACGGTGAGCCTGGTCCCGTATTTCCTATATGTATATGCTCCTAGCAAGGTCCTGCCATTGTCTCTTACCCTCAACTCCTTTGAGAGTGCGTAACCCAAGATGATTCTAGATTGTATGTTGTTCAGTGTTAGCTCGGGGTTGGCTTAAAGATGCATCTCTATCAAATGCCTACGAGAATGCCGCCGGGGTGAAAATGACGAATTTCCTCAATATTTGATCAATTTTCACACTATTTGACATAGATTGTAACGCAAAGCTCAACACCACTCCTCCTTTTTTTATTGAGGGCCTTATGGCTAGTTACTGGAAGCATTCTAGGAGCCTCAGTTGGGATTCCTCCAAAATCTCTATCCTTTGAGCTATTTCAGGTTGAAATAGACAGTCAATTCGGCTGATATAACCACTTGTAATGTAACTAGCTACACGAGCAGCTAATGCATTAAGAACCACCTTCTTGTTGCCTTCCCAGGCCTTTGACCACCATATCATGTCATCAATTAAGCGGGGAACTTTGTAGTAATATGTTCCGTAATATGTGCATGCATATGGTTAACTCGACTGCTGTTGGTTCCCATTTAATTATCTTCTAAGCCTTACATACATTATTATTAACGTTGCACCAGCTCATTTTCCTTCAATTACCCCGCCTCCCCCCTTTCGTATTCTTTCAACAAAAATACTCACATCATCACACACATAATGACTGAGGGAACCGCTCTTTTTCATGTTCCTGGCCTAGCCGAGCCTGCTCGTACCTGGTATAAGATCATCGGCGATTTGCATTCCAAATCTACCCCATTGGTAATCCTGCATGGAGGGCCTGGAGCCTGTCACGACTACCTCCTGCCTCTGACGGATCTCTCAGTACCACTTGTCTTTTACGACCAGATTGGCAATGGGAAGTCAACCCATTTACCTGAAAGGAATGGCGATGAGGACTTCTGGTCCGTGGAGCTTTTCAAGAATGAGCTAAACAACCTGCTCAAGCATCTTGGTCTGGATTCACGCCCGATTGATATCTATGGACATTCTTGGGGTGGCATGCTTGCAGCCGAATGGGCAGTAACACAGTCGAGTTCTAATCTTCGACGTCTGATTATTTCGAACAGTCTTGCAAGCATGGATACTTGGCGGATTGGCATTACATCATTACGAAAGCAACTCCCCGAAGACGTTCAGGTTGTGCTTGACGAGGCGGAGAAGAGCCAGAATTTCGAAACTCCTGAATATGCCGACGCTATTGAAGTATTTTACAAACGCCACCTGAGCCTCGCGCGGCCATATCCAGCTCCGGAGGTTGAGGCTGCACTGAACTGGTTTGAAGCAGATGGCACAACCTATGGGACAATGTAAGATACGCCCCGTTTTCGCAAGAGCATTGACTAAAGTATTATCTAGGTACGGGCCTAGCGAACTTTCAATCACTGGCTCGCTTCGAAATTGGACAATAGTACCGGAACTACACAAGATTAAGGTGCCGACACTGTTGATAAACGCCGTAAATGATGAGGCACAGGACGTGACAATGCAGCCTTTCGCTGACAATATCGAGAATTCAAAATGGGTCAAATTGGACAATGCGGCACATTTTTCACATGTTGATCAGCGGGAAGAATACATACGGCATATCCAGGATTTTCTCGAGTGACGATGCGGCATATCTTTCGTGCGTTGGATCGTCCATAGGCTTCCAAAAGTCATTGATGATATCTCGAAAATTTATATGACTGGATAGAATTAACACAATGAACCATTTTTATCATACAGCTGGCTTAATATAAGGTAATTGGGAAGAGGGGGTGGCCGAGGATCATCTCGAAAGCTTCAATAAGCGATCACTCCCCAGGTCTTGATTAGATCTTTTAGTTACAGTCGCACTAGACAAAAAACAACTCCGAAAGAATGGTCTAGATAATGAAACCTCAATGTCAGCTCCTTGGGAACAAATTAAAAATAATCCTCACTTCTTTCCGGCAGACTCCTGCTGGCTACCCTATACTAAAGGTTATCATTGGTGCATGATAAATATTACAAAGTTAAAGATGTTGCTAAGTAACCTTATTTATAGAAGTATCTTTAAGATAGACCTTTTAACTAATTGGTTTAAAAATAGAGAGCCAAATTTTATAAATATACTTGGTTCACCGGTAGGTTCTTAGAAGCTCGTAGGTCTTGACGTGCACACCATCTGTAGGTATTGACATGACCAAAAACAAGAGAACAGAAACACACCCGACGGTACGACAAATCACGGTTAAGGCCCACATTTCCAAATTGCCTAGCCGCAAAGGGCTCATCTTCTAACCTCGTGCAATTAATCCTATCTCGGTGCACGATCACATTCAACGAGCCAGCGCGTCACGCACTTGGCCCAAGCAGCGAGCGCCAGGATGGACCGGCTGCCGCTGACATGCTGCCAGATCTGCGGCGTGGGATTCACCATCGGTCGCCACCGGACGAGAGAGGAAGCTCTCGCCGGTACCGGCACGGGGCCATGCGACGACTTCTCTCGACACTCATGGAACAACTCCACAGGCTGCCAACAAGGAGGGTGCAGCGTCATCGATAGAAGCTTCCGAAATTACGCCTCCCAAAGAACAATCTGCATTACCTGGGACAGCCCCGACGACAGCCCGGGCGCTGCAAAACCCAGCCACATTGAGCCGATCCCGACCTTGGGCAACGACTCCATCGCCATGTGGACGATGGAGCATTTAGCAGGCCCCGACTGTCCATGTGAAGGTGCATATAATGGAAATTTCATATCCGCCGAAGAGATGCTCGGGTGCTGTACGTGTCAATGTTTGATACCAAAGCCAAAATTCACCGTCCCCGAGCTTGACGACGCAGACTTCGAGTCCAGCTCGGACTTTATCCTCACTGGCCTTTCCGACAATATGCCCATTCGCAGCAGAGTTGGCCTCTTCTTCCCTGAGCGCCATGGTTTGGGCTCATGCCTTGCCGCCAACTTCTTCACCAGCCCTGATTACGCCCACTTGACAGGCATGCCATTCCACCCAACCTGTCTTGAGGTTTATAAACGTGCCTCTCTGCTGCGCTTTGGTCACGTAGACATGGAGGCACTGTATCATTGGTACTGCCTTGAGGCAGACTTCGAAACGTTTACCTCCTTCCCTCGAGATGAGGTCGTCCGCCGTGGTACTGCCTGGGACCATGACCCCAGCATTCCGCAGCAGTGGAATCACTGCCGGGGAGATGAAGTGCTGGTTGCCAACCCTGTCTTTGTTCCGGCACTTCCCTCAATATTCGACGATGCAGCATCCCGCGGCGCATCCATATCTAGCTTGGATGAAGGCGCCATCGACATCACCTCCCACAACTCAAACCAGACAAGCGACGTATTTGCTGTCCTTCCCTATGAGTTACGACTTATGATTCTCTCCCACCTTTCCCCTAAAGACATTGCCACACTACGGCTTGCGTCTCACACTTTCCGCCAACTGCCTCAATCCTTCTTTCGCTATCTTCTTCGGAGAGAATACCCCTGGCTGTGGGAGATTTGGTCGGATTTGAAATACTCATTCTGGGCCTCAGAGAAGCCGGCATCCTTCACCGAAGACGGGCTAGAGTGGCAAGAAAAAAGACGTAACTTCGAACAGAACATTACTGTTATTGGGCCAGGGAACAGCACACCGGAGCCTTGTTCAACCAGCGAGGGTGAGCTACCCTCACCAACCCCAGTGTATTTATTGTCCAGAGAGAAAACAGACTGGCATGGGCTTTATTGCGATTTGACAAAAAATTGGGGGCATCTTCGGGGCTTACAAAACCGAAAGCGTATCTGGAAAGACTGCCAAGAGATTCTTGATCGGATCCAGCGCTTCAAGGAAGCAGGAATTATCAGTCCAGACATGAACGTGACAGAAACACGTCGCCAGACAGCCGAGAGGTCAGAATTGGCGTTGAAGATCAACAGAGCTTGGCATAGGTATCGCATGCGCAGACTGCCCCTCCAAACATTCAACTGGGAGGAATGGGCAACTGATTCAGAGGACGAGGAATAGCACCTGTCAAATGAGACGACCCCTTTCTGTATGTTGGAAGCGGAA